CTATGCAAACAGACTGAACAGTGGAAAAACTGGAACAACCAAACAACCAACCAACCAGTCACTATGATGTGTGCTGACCACCAGGGGGCATATGTGGAACATGGTGGGTATCAGCAGCAGGCGGGGTGGTGGAGCAGATGAGTGGCAGGGCACCAGTTGCTGAAAATTCTTTGCTCCTGTCCACTGCTTGCACCTGCTGCCAGTGCCCAACTATATATATATATATATATATATATCACTTTTTGTTTAAAGTCATGTTACTTTTACTCTAATTCATCATGAATAATTATTGTTTTAGCTTATGTTTGAAGAATATGTTCATATTATAACTGGTAGTTTGTAACATTTGGCCAATGTCTCCCCATCTCTCCCCATTGCCAGGCCCTGCTGGCATCATCTAGCCTCTTTTTCTGAGTTTGTTTTTTTTCCTGATTCCACATATAAGTGGGGTTGTGTAGTACTAGTCTTTCTCTGTCTGACTTATTTCACTCAGTATATGCCCACAAGACCCACCCAAGCTGCCCTGTTGGCCGGATGTCCTTCTTCATGGCTGGGCAACGTTCCATTGCATGGGCACCACATCTTCCTTAGACTGCCCTCTGTGGACGGGCACTGAGAAATGCTAATTATGTTGTATAATCTTTTTTCTTGAGACTCTTTTTTATATTACAACCTCAGACAGCAGAGCTTAACAGCAAGAAGAAACGATGACTCATGAACCAATTAATACATGTTCCTAATGTGGCTGACGGTGCTCATCCCATCCCTGCGTCTTCAGCCTTTAGGAAGCTCTTCAGAAATGGAACAGCCTCTGGGAATTTAAAAATGAGCAAGAAGAATAATCCGTTTTTACTGTTCTCAGTGGCTGCTGGAGTGATCTGTCCATCCTGCTTGCTGTGTTTCACCCTGACTGCTAAGGTCATTCACAAGAGCGGGTGAGGCTGAGCATCAGGATGGTTTGACCTCCAAACCCACATCTGCATCATGAACTCCATTTCGCCTGTCAAGCTGGTAATGAGATGAAATGTCAGGGCAATCATGACGAGCCTGCTTTTGTCTTGATGGTTTGAACTTTTAGCGGACATGTCAGGTCAGCTCATTGGCTGTAAAATCAATGGGTTTCCAAGGAGGAGGAAGAGATACAAGGAGATGAAGACAGAACACCCCAGGTTAGTCTCATGCACTTTTCTTATGCTTTCTTGAGCCTTCCTGCCACCCTCCTCAATCCCCCCCCCCCCTGTTTTGGTCTTTTTTTCCTCCCTTGCAGATTGTTTCTCTTTCATAAAAATCCCTCCTTTTTCTTTCTGTGCAAACCTCTACTGGAAATGAGCTGTCAAAAATGGCATCTCCAGGAGTCACATTGAAGTTTCTAAGGTACATTATGTATCCTTGAATTTTACTGCCAGAAAGACACTTGTCTTTCACATTGAAAATATCCTCTTTGCTCTCCCCTGAGCCAGGAGGGCAGCTGCTATGCTTGGGGCTAATCTCTTTTGGCTTTTAAGGGAAGAATTTTTGAAAATTTTATTGCGGTAGTTTTGTATGACAACCTGGACCCTAGGCCACTGAAAACAAAGGGTAATAAGTCAGACTGTGCAGCACATTGTCCAGGAGGAAACTAAGTCCAGTAAATGTCAGCATTTCTGTCATTTGAGGGCAAAGCCAGTGGCAAGGACCAGTACTTGATTTTCTAGAAAAGTGGAATAAAAGTATATATAACCCAAATACTTTGTATTTTCATTTTTAAATCTGGTACATTCATGACTTTTATTCTACTTTTCAATGTACCTTTAATCTATTTGCTCACATTTCTTTAAAATTTCATGAGAAATCAGAATTGGTAAAGTAATTGTTGAGAGTCAAACAACACACACACACACACACACACACACACACACACTTTCTTTTATTGCTGAAGATTAAATGAGACCTAGTAATGTTCCTGGAATTTCATTTAAACTTTTTAATTTATAGAAGAAGAAATCACCACAACTCATTGGGTTTTGCAATATATGAGATCCATTTTCTCTAATCCCTTTGTGTTCATAAAATCAGCTTAGTATGAGTAGACTAATACACAAAAGTATTATTGGTATTTTCCATTATGAAACTTCATTAAAATATAATCTGAAGAATGTTAACAAACTTCTTAACACAAGGGGGGAGCACTTTAGTGACTTCTTAACAGACACCCTGTCGATAGTGACTATTACCGGAGCCTCTCAATGACTGCACCGGGCTCTCTAAGAAAGTAAGTTGAATAATCAATTATTGAGTACTTATTGTAAGCACAATACTGGGAGTTGTCGATAATATAGGCGGAACATGGTTTCTAATCTCAAGGAGTCATTCTAAGTGTAAGTGATCAGACAAATACACACGAGACCATAATTCAAAGCAGAATTTCATAAGTGCCAACATAGAAATAAACACTACAAGGAGAGCTTGTAGGATGTGGTTGGTGGGACACAGGGATCAAAGATGTCATGAGAGAGGGGGACTGGGCCTGGTCCTTCTAGCTGGTTGGAAGCAGCGGCGGAATCAGATGGAGAACGTGCTCCAGGAAGGTCATGGCTCTCTAGCACCCTCCTCTCAGTGCACCTGCGGGAGTCCTGCATGCAGAAGTGAGGACAGGCGCTCCCTGCCTGAGTGCGGAGTCCTTCTCCCCGGGTCGGACGTGTCCTCAGCGGCACCAAAAGATCCTGCTTTAACCCGTCATAAATATATAACCATCTAAATACAACACTCTCCGATTCACGAGTACTTTCTAAAGCTGCCACAAGGATGAGCATTTATTTTTATAGACATCTTGCCACCTTTGATGAGAGAACTGTAAGTATGACAGCAGGTGAACCAAGCTCCCAGCCCCTTGGCAGGCCTGGCCCGGAGATGCAGTCTTGCCTGGAGCAGGGACGCGGGCTCCCAACAGGCGTTCCTGGTCTCAAGTC